AACATGCAGATATCACTTATTTTCACGTATGCAGACTCTAGAGTATTACAATCTCTTGACAGTTTTGTAAGAGAGTATCCTTGTCCTGCAACTTAAATTTCACAAACTGCATATGATTGTGGTATACTAAGATCATTCATAGTTTCCCAAGGTGAATATATTCACACAATATTAACATTAAAATCTGTTTTTTAAACATTATTTTAATAAGCCAAACCACAAAAAACCCAGGTTCTTATTTTAAGTGTTTATGAAGACTGCTGCTGAACTCAAAGCATGCAGATATGACCACCCAGATGAAGCTGGATACTGAAACTCCTTCAGTAGGTCCAAGGATGCAATGTTTCACTCATCCCAAGCATCTCCATATTTGTTTACTTTGACTAGGAAAAAAGCACAAATAGTTGATGATTCCAAGTAGTAATATGTAAAAGGCACTATTTTAAGTTTGCTATTATGATGAAAAGTCATGTTTCTCATTTGAAAAAATGCACACGAGAGTCAAATTAAAAAGGGGCTGGCCAGATTTAGTGAACTGGAGGTTCGACATAAATAGTAATGCACTGTATCCACTACTTTACGTAAGTATTTGATCGCCCTAACAATGTTACAAACACAACCCCTATTTCAGGGCCGAGAAAACAGATTAGTAACTTGCCCAAGGTACAAATAAAACAAGTGGAACTAAAATTTGAACACATCTGCTTAGGTCCAAAGCCTGGGTGCCTTTACAACTTTACCATACTACCTAAGTAAGTGTGGTATAAATTATAGCACATACAAAAAAATTATTGGGAAATTAAGAAACAACAAAATTGAATTTTGTTTTTCACAAAAAAGACAGCAACAGAAATGGTCAGGTGAACAGGTTATGGTGATTTCAATCATCTCTCCTATGAGCCGTGATACTAGTGGCAAGGAGGAAACAGTTTCTAATGTTCTTGCATTTTACATAAAATTATATTTTGAAACATGCTCCTCTGTCTTCTCTACTCTTTCACCTTTTAGCCTCTCTTTTACATAGCCTTCATCTGTGAATTACAAGTAGTCCTAACAATGTAAATAAGTAGTTATCAAAGTATGAACTGGGGACTCCCTTCCTCAAGACACTTTCAGAGAATCTGTAAAGTCCAAATTATTTCATTATTATACTAAGACATTATACATCCCTTTCCCTCATATTTTGCCGTTTCCCCTTGCTTTCATTCCCTCATTAGTACAAGGAAGAGTTTTCTAGAAACTGCATGGGTGGTGATATCATTGCCCGTTTTTAGAATTTGTCTTAATTTCTAATTAGGTAAATGTCATCCACAGAAACCAAAACTGAACAATTTAAGTGAATTTATGCTGTACTAATGTCAAATTTTCTGTCTGGATTCTAGAATAGGACATTCTAGAAAATCACTAGAACTATTTCATAACTTTTTTATCTTCAAATAAAGCACACAAAAAATCAGTTTTCTTTTTATAAATAATTTCATATTACTGTCATGTAACAGAACTTTAAAAGACTGCTTATAGTCAAAATCTAGCAAATGCCAAAGGTCTGCCATATTTCCTTTTCTTAATCTTTATTACTATAGAAAGCCCAATGAAACATTTCATTTCTGATTTACCAGTGTATGCTCCTGTGCAGACATAGAAAAGATTACAAAACTGAGAAAAATACTACTGCCTGCCCCCATGGAGCTTACAGTCTAAATCCTCAAGTTAATCAGAACAAAGTACCAGTAAATCTTTACATATTAGAGTAATGGCTATTGAATGTATACAGTTTACACTAATTTTTTTAAAATGGCAAACATTAACAAGTAATGTCAATTACCAATGTATTTTAAAGCTAGATTTTTAAAATCAGTAATATAACAGATACTATCCATCGTTATTATGAAAACAGAATTCTACATGAAGCAACAACTAACCATTAGAAATAAATTTGGCTCTAAAAGAATGACCATAATAAAAAATACTAAGAATTTTTATGTATTTTTATATTCCTTATGGCATATATCACTTTCAAGAAGGTACCAAGGACCTATTCCTTTTGTTTTTAAAGTAGTAAATGGGAAACCTTGAAACAATGACACATTCTCTAAAAGTCCTCAAGAGAGAGATAAAATTCTGTATTAAAATAGCTATAAACCCCTATTCAAAATACCCTCTTCTGTTAGAAGTAAACTTCTATGTCAGAAAATTTACTTAGGGTAATGTATAACTGTTCCAAAATGACTTAAAAGAAACTGTGATTTTAAAATTTACTATTAATTATATCGCAAAAATACTAAATAAAAAAGTCAGTGACTCCTCTTTGGAAATGTCCTAAAGCTGCTTTGTTAGGCATATAAACTCTATCTCAATTTCACAAACATAAGAAAATCAGTTTCATTAATCATAATTCTGGGCTCTGCCGAAAGTGGCATTATAACCCAATTATCAATCTGGTTTTATGTAATAGATGCCTAATTTTAAAAATGGTTTCCAACCTGACTTCTTATAAGGGAAAACAGTCAACTTGGATGTTTTATTTTTACATGGTATTACACAACTAGTCTTATTATCTTAAGTCATACTACTATTTTAACTTCATTATTTTCTAACACAAAATGGCCTTTGGAACACCTTAAAAAGAAAAGTCCTGATAACTGTGAATAGCTATTCTTTTTAAAAAATATGACTTTGGTTAATTGTGTGGAATTAAACCACATTAGCATGCTTAATGTTTTTACTGCTGCAGTCCCGATCCGACAGAGTAAAGTGTTGAGACTAAACTATCATACCTTCTTTTTTGGGTACTCTTTCCTGCATAGGCCTGACTGAGGGGTCGGTCTTATGTGCTAAAGTTACTTCATATGACTCTCTGTTCTTATTCCTTAATTCCTCATACGTAATACTTTTTCTTTTAGGACTTTCTTCAAGCTTGGGATCAGGTCCTAAAACAACAAACAGTTAGTACATGGTGATAAAAGGAGCTTGAACAAATTCAAAACAACTAAATTTTATAAATCTCCTGATCTATGATTAGAATAGAATGAAGTGAAAAAAGGATCGTATTACTGCCACCACTCCAAAGCACTGCTTTCCCCAAGGTAACCATAAGCTAAACCAGCTTCTCACACTGCCCAGTTTTTATTTCTAAAATTGAAAATTAACATAAACAAACTGACAACTAACCATGTCAGAACAGATAACATAATACACACCAGCATCATTCAGACTCATTAACACGTTAGTGTTTTAAACTGCAAAGTTATTCATAGCGTTTATATAGAGAAATACATTGTACTAATTGAATAAAACTTGACCCAGCATGGCTTTTATTTGGTAATATTTGCATAGTTAAATGTTCCTATAACCACGGTCTATATACAAACTCCAGCTATTTTAAAAACTTTTAATTTTACCATCTTTGTATTTAAACAAAAATACTTGAAAATAGCTATTGCAAAGTATAAAACACAGCCTTTAAGCATAGTATGCTTCATTTCCACTTAGGTCTAATGAATGCAATACTGAGGCAGAAAAAAGGAGCAACTATAATTTCGACCGGGAAACCAGCATTTATTTTTTATATCTCCCAAAGAGTTAAAGTAGGAATACATATTATCAAAGAGTCAAATACTGATGAAACATATGGAACTGGTTATGCTTAATACTGGTTGACAGGGCCAAATATTGAACACACTTTATATAATGTATAACCAGCAAAAAGGGCCATATAAACAGTTCTAAAGAAATTAACTAAGGCTAACACAGCATTCAATGAACTACTTACAATCTGACACACTACTCCCAAAGTACTATTTATCAAAGAGGTTTTTAATAAGACAAATTGGACACATTATTTTAATTATGATTATTTTTCTTAAAACATTTTTTCTTAAGTGGTACTATTTTGAAACTCAATGGTAAGGTCCCACTGAATAACCAGAATTTTTAAAGCAACATAACTACACAGTAAATGCTTTCAGCCATAATCATTTATTTTAGTACAAAGTATACTGCACTGATACAAAGAGCATTTAAACTTCTCCTTATTAGTTCTAATATTATACCACTGTTGAAAAGTAAAATTTTCTTACTAAAAAAAAAAAAAGCCAAGAAAAATTAGTATAACTTTATATTGGGTTTAAAAAGCACTTTGTATTTCACTAGTAATGAGTAATTATTGGACTCATTTCCCTTCACCACAAGTTGTATTTTTAAAATTCTGGAGGAGATAGTATATACTAGATTAGTAGTCAGAAACCCCAGGTTCTCATTCCTACTCTGCTGACAACTAGTGAATGTCCTTGGGCAAATCACTAAACTTCTTTGAATATTGGTTTTCTCAATTGCAAAATACAGAAGTTTAACTAAATGATCTACCTCTAAAGTTCCTTCCAGGTCTAATATTTTTTTCATTGTTCTGAAATTCTGTTACAAATAATGAAAACATAAATCAGACAGAATGTTAGGGAGAATTTTTTACACTTACAAAAGTCAAATGAAAACATTCTATATTGTGCAGGAAGCATAGCATGATTTACTACTTTGGGAAGGTAATACAGAGCTGGAAGGAATAAGACAGTGAAAAATAGCATTGACTTAAATCTAACTGTAATAAACTACAGTAAGTGTCATAACAACTATGAAGGAGTACTTTCTACTATGAATTCTCTACTTTGAATAACTTTAAATTTTTGCTAAGAGAAAGCAGAACTAAGAGGGCAAGTAGTTCTGCTTAAACAAAAGGGAAGGGTGTCTTATTAAGGGGGACCAGCAGCTGGGGCAAAGCAAAGGAGGCAGCTCTGCTGTCCATGTGGAGAGCAGTCAGAGCTGCAATACGGATTTAGAGAAGAGGGTGAGAAAGCAGAGCCACAGACAGATGGATAGTTGCTTTGGAGGACATAAAATATATTAAAATACAGGCCTTACTGTGGTCTGTGGGCAGATGCCAAAGGACTTTTTGTTTGTTTGCTTTTATTTGAAAAAGAAACTACGTAACATGGAATGGAATTTGCTAATGCAAATGCAAGGAAGGATGCAAGTCATGACAAGGCTAGAATACGAGTAGAATGCATTTGAACTAGAGAAACAGGAAAAATGGAGATGCGATGAGGGACAAGGACAGCTGCCTTTGGAGATAACCACTGACTTTAACCACTATCTCTAATCTGCCCACCTCCTTTCCTTTCTCACTACAGACCCTTGAACAACTTGGGTTTGAATCGTGTGGGTCCACTTACAGGTGGATTTGTATAAGTGGTCCCGCACAGTTCAAACCTATGTTGTTCAAGGGTCAACTGCAATCGGATGTCTTTATTTCCAACCATTCAGGGGGAAAAAAAAGCTGTTGAGGATTAACAGACTCTCGACAACTTTCATCCACTAAAGAATCTAAATTACCTTAAATTCCATTCTCTCCTGTCTCTTCTGCAAATACTCCCTTACTTTTGCTCTAAAGCAGTGCTATCCAATATAATTTTCTATAATGATGAGAATGTTATATATCTACAGTCCAACATAGCAGCCACTAGCACATGTGGCTACTGAACTGAAATGCCGTCAAAGAATTGATTTTCAATTTGATTTCATAAATTTAAACAGCCATATATAGCCAGCGGCTACTTTATATGCTGATCTACCTTGAACCCCTCTGCATCCTCTGGAACCTCAACTGACCTATAGTCAACTTCTCCCTTTCCACTAGTATCCCCTCCCTCCCTTTAATCTACATATATATATATAGATAAAAATCTCTCATCTTAAACAAAGGAAACAAAATCCAAATGTTCCTTTAACCTTGTTTGGTCCCCATAGTTACTGGCTTAACAGTATTTGGTTCAAAGAAAATGTTTTTAAAGAATACCTTATAGAGGCCCACAATCCCTTATCCAAACCCTTACAAGTCAGAAATGTTTCAAAATACAGACTTCCTCAGATTTTAGAAAAATATTACAGTACATAGCCCTGGTATTATTTGATATTCATCCATTCAAAAGTTCAGAGCAACAACAAGTAAAAACAGTATTTCTGCAACAGAATTTAGGAAAAACCATATTAATATAAAGATGATAAATAAACTTATGTAAGTTTAGCTCAGGGTTTGAAATAATTCAGGTCAGACTTTATCATCTGTTTATTTAAAAAACTTGTTTTCAAAGTTTTTTGAATTTAAGGATTTTTAGATAAGGAATTGTAGACCTGTACTTCCTATTTCTAATTCCTCACCTTTCAGTGCAAACTAGAATGAAGAAAGGAAACTAACGTTTGATGAAAGCCTATTACCTGCCAGGCGTAAGTTACCTCTGATTATTTCATCTCATTCCGAAAGTTCTTTAAAAGAGAAGGGATCACAAACGACAGTCACCTGCCGAACGTCCATGGCTAGTAAATGTCAATTGTGATTCAAATCCAGGCCTTAACCCAAAATTGATGTTGTTGCACTTAACATTATGCGATCTTCAAACCCAGTATTTACACAAACTCCACAAAGCATTTTCACATAGATTTTCTCACTTGACAACAGTTCTGTAAGGCAGGTAATTATTATTTTTCTCACATTACAAAGAAGCTGAAATCTTTAAGACCAGCCTAATGTAACCTTTTTATAGCCTCCCTGAGGGAAAACTTATCACTCCTTTGATATTACACTAAACTTAGTATTTTTAATTAACAGGACATACTAGTAATTTATCCTTATATTTCTGTATCTTCTAACAGACGGGACCTCAAAAAATGTTGAATTGAAGAAACAAATGAACAAATGAATGAACATGCTGCGTTTAGGCTGATGGTGGAACACACAGGTGACATCCAGCAGAAAAGGTCATCAAATAAAGTTTATACATACGTTGGACCATTAAATGCTGAAATTCATTTCAAGAGAAGTTTCTACCTTGGGCGATATGATCAGTAATACCAGTGGGAGTAGATTCATTCATAGAAGAACTAAATGGAATTGGCTCATAACGAGGAAGCTTCTCTTTTTCCATGTTGTCTGCTGCTGGGGGTGTCACAAAAGACGAATGCCCACTCACATTTGAGTCATATTTTGGCTTCTGAGAATAGTACCTATAAGAGAAATTCATATTATATAAGAAACATGAATATTGCTTATACCTTAAGGTATGAAAATCAGTTATCTTATTTTCTAGAGAAATCATATTATTTTAACATAGTTATTTTAAATAGTAAGATTAAGCCTATTTCTTTCTGGCACAAAAAAAATTTAAAATGTTTTTGTTTTGTTTAATCCTCACCCGAGGATATTTTTTCCATTGCTTTTCAGAGAGAGAGACAGAAAAAGAAACATCGATGTGAGACTCATCAACTGGTTGCCTCCCGGCTGCACCCTGACTGGGGCTGGGGAGCAAGTCTACAACCGCGGTACGTGCCCTTGGCTGGAAATGAACCCAGGACCCTCAAGTCTGCAGGCTGATGCTCCAACCACTGAGCAAACGGGCCAGGGCAAATTAAAATTTGACCTACTAACATAACTTAAAAATTTACGCTCAATATATAGGAGAAAAAATGTTTATTCAATTTTCCAATTACTAAGCTTCAGAGATCATTTTAATGTGTTTAAGGTTTTCAGAAAGAAAAACCACTTCAGATAAAAAAAAAAAAGTGTCCATTTCCCACAGTAACTGGGCAGTTACTTCCACAGGTAGTCCACATGAACTCCATGGTGATAAAGCAGATGTAAGTAAATCTAGCTCTCACAGTTTACACTGCTTGCCATTTAGGATGTGAAATATATCTAGCCAAACTACTTAATTACCTTATTACTTATCTGCCTATCCAGACAGGGAGATTCATTTATCTATACTTACACCATTTCCTTACTATTTTAAACAGCAGGATTAAAAAGTTGGAATTTGTTGAGCTGAAATTAATAAAATTTGGGAATTCAAAAGAAAAGTTCAAAATACAGGTAACAAAAGGTGTTTGCCAAATTAAACCCTTCATTCTGGTATATGCACTCCCAACAGGATGCAACTCTATACAAAACAAAGGTAGAGAGCCCTGGCCAGCGTGGCTCAGTGGTCAGAGCACTGGCCCATGCAACGAAGGGTCACAGGTTCGATTCCTGGTCAAGGGCATGGGTACTCGTGTTGCAACCAATCGATGCGTCTCTCTCACATTAATGTGTCTCGCCCTCCTCTAAAAAGCAATGGAAAAAAATATCCTCAGGTGAGGATTAACAACAATAAAACAAAGGAAGACAAATCTCATTCTACCTTTAAAAACCAAATTAGCTTTAGCCTGCAACAAAATTGCAAGTTTCCAATGGTCCTTCAGTTAGGCAATGTTTCATGACCTGAATTATGGCAATATCCAGTTACACTTTTTTAGCTAAAATTAAAAACCTTTAATAAAGATAAGAATCTGGCCTACCCAGGTGAAGATCGTCGTGCCTGTCCTGATCGTAAAGCTTCTCCAAGAGGGGAATTCTCAAGATTCTTGAACTTCTCTTGGCAAGTTTTCACATAAGAAAGCTTTCCAGCAAAGTATCCCATGATACAAGCAACTTATTTGTAAAAAACAGAGAGTGTAACTCAATGTGTGTTTGTTTTTATAAGACTCTTTTCTGAAAGTACATTTAAAAAAATGCGATTCTAAGTATGTCTCTGGTGTGAAAGACTGAGATTTCCTGAAATAATGGTAAAAGTGTCACATTAAATCAGATGAGAATCATACCATTTGCCCAGCTATTTCTTCAGATTGTTTTCAAAATTAAGCAACAAATCTCTTAAAATAATAAATTATTAAATGCATCCTATGTCTTTTTCCAATACAAAAGAAAGGCTAACCTGGAAAGATTCATAAAAAGCTTCAGGTAATTTTTAAAAGCAATTTAGCTTCTTTTCTATTAAGCATATTAAAAAGATTTATTTTTCAAATTAGAATTAATTTTAATATACATTTTATCTTGATTAATCAGAATCACTGAACAACTTTCCTAATAGGCAAGGTAATTTATTTTCAAATATAATACCTTTAGAAAATAATTTTAAATGAGTAGTTCTATCACATTATAAAAAGAAAAAAATGCATCTTTGAAGTAACTCATGATTTTTAATGTTAACAATAAAATGCCCTAGTAGTCCACTTAATGAGAAGCTTAAACAAACTGATTTGTCAAAGCAAGTAGCCAAATAACTGTTATGAGAAAGACAAAACATTTGATAAAAACATTATCTTACTTAAGTAAAAAGCTAAGAAAACGTGTTCATACTTACAAATGAGTTTAGGGATGGAACCATATTTGGGATGACTTGAAAGGATTCCTAAAGATAAGAGAGTAAATATTTCTTGTTAACAGTAATTGTTAGAGAAAAACACATTTACATAATTAAGATGTTATTTCTTTGACTAAGATAAAACAGGTTTATGCCAAGTTTATGCTAAGAGTGTATGAGAAAATAATAAAGAAGTTGCGGTAAAAATGCAAAGAAACTATTTCTGCTAGTCATTCCATGATCTCTTCTAATGTACGACAAAATAAGTTCAGCAATACAATATAAAGTAATATAATCTATCAGCAGAAATAAGGAAAAATATAAAAGCAAAAACCAGTACAGACTATCTTTAAATACCTAACAATATTAGCTCTTTCCATAAACCCAGAGAAGTCTAAAGCTATTTGAGAACCAAGTAAATTCAGTATCAACAGAAATATAAAGAAAATTGAAAAAACTCCACAATCTATTATAATAGGTCAATTTAGCAAGGTCACTTGATACAAGATCAATACATACAAAAAAAAATACTTCTTTACACAAGGAACAAAAAAAGCAAAAAATTTTCAAAACACATAACTTATTATAAAACCAAAAACATCAAAGACCCAGGAGTAATCTAATGAAAAATATGAAAGATCTCTACATTGAACACTACAAAACTGAGAAATAAAAGTTAAATAAATGGGAAATACACCATATTCACAAACCAAGACTAAACATTGTAAAGTCTTAAATTCACCTATAAATTCAATGCAATCCCAATTAAAATCAAAGAAAAATTTCCCCAAATTAAAAAGCTTGTTCTAAAAATCATGTGGAAACACGAAGGGCCAAGAATAAGCAAGGGAATACTGAAGAACAACAAAGTTGAAGAACTGCCAACAAATATCAAGATCTATTACTATAGTAATTAAGACAGTCTGTTATAAGTGCAAGGACAGATAAACTGAACACACCGGAAGAGTCCAGAAACAGACCCATACATGCAGTCACTTAATTTATGAGAAAGGCAACACTGCACTGAAGCGAACAAAGAAAAGTCCTTTCAAAATAAAGTTCTGGGTCAACTACATATCCATAAGAGGGGGAAAAATATACCTTGATTCTACCTCATACAACATTCAAAAACAGTCCCAGATGGCCTGGCCGGTGTGGCTCATGAGCAGCAACCCATGAACCAGGAGGTCACGGTTCGATTCCCAGTCAGGGCACATGCCTGGGTTGCAGGCTTGATTCCCCAGTAGGCAGCCAATCAATGATTCTCTCATCATGGATGTTTTTATCTCTCCCTCCCTCTTCCTTCCTCTCTCTGAAATCAGTAACGGTCCCAGATGACTTAAAAATTTAAGTATGAAAGATAAAAGAAAGCTTATAGAAGAAAGCATAAGAGATTCTTCGTGTCCTTGTAATAGACAAGGATCTTTTTTTTTTTTTAAATCCTCACCCAAGGATATTTTTTTTTTTCATTGCTTTTCAGAGAGAATGGAAAGGAGAGAGAGAAACATTGATGTGAGAGAGACATATCAATAGTCTCGTGCACACATCCCAACCTGGGTTGGGGACTGAGCTTGCAACCGAGGTACGTGCCCTTGGCCGGAATCGAACCCAGGACCCTTCAGTCCGCAGGGCCGATGCTATAGCCACTGAGCCAATCTGGCCAGGGCAACGAAGATCTTAAACAGACTACAAAAAGCACTCATCATAAAGTAGAGATTTGATATATTGGATTGCATTACATTAAGAACTAGTTCATTAAAGTGGAAAAAAATAACCACAATGCATATATCTGATAAAAGACTCATTTCCAGAATATACAGAGAAGTCTCACAAAACCAAGAGAAAGAAGACAATCCAATGGAAAAGTGGACAAAAGACTGAAACAGATAATTTGCAAAAAAGGACATATTCAAATAAGATACAAACAAAAGAAAAGGCCCTCAACTTCATTAACTCAAAATCACAATGCAATCAATATCACTATTCACTCAGGACATGGCTAAAATACAAAGACAAAGATAGCAAGTGTTGTGAAACCGTGATCACTTATTAATAGGATTGTATTAATAAATTGGTAGTGGGAGTGTAAATTGGTCCAAACAGCATGGAAAGTTTGGCATTACCTACTAAAGCTGAACATATGCACAATCTATGACCCAGCAAAATGCCTTCCAAGAGACACTGTATTCATGGCATAACTACTTATAATAATAAAAACTGGAAACTACTTGACTGCCAATGTACAAAAGGATGGATTAACTGCTGTGGTATATTCACACAGTGGAAAACGACATGACAATGAGAATAAGTAATCTACAACCTCATATAACAATGTGGATGAATCAAGTGATGTGCTGGTAAACCAGCTCTCCAAAAAGCCCTGATTTGCGATGCTGGTTGATTTCCATGGAGAGCAAATATTTGGACCATGACCAATTTCCAGCTACCAAATGGTTTAAAAACCAGCTTGCCAAAATCTTGAAAATTTAAAACTCAGCTCTTTGGAGCTGATACAAGCCAGTTCCAGCATACCTCTGGATAAATCTCACAGGCAATGTTAAAAGAATACTTAGTTGTCTGATTTCATGTATATAAAGCATAAAAATAGAACTCATTTATGCTGTTGGCCTCAGTTCCTTTACTTACACAAATGAGAAAAAAAAGGAAGATAGTAATAATATCCACATTTATACAAAAATGTTTTTCCTTCATTTACAGACCCCTTACAACATACAGGCACTACACACTAGGAAGGAGGGATATACCAGCAAATAAGACACCCTTTACTCCCAGAGCTTACAGAAAAAGCATACAATGTGATGGTGGCTATTCATTCACTCAAATATTTGAGTATCTACTACATGCACTATGCCCTGACAGGTACCTGAGATGGGCAGTTTTCTAAGGGGAAGTAGGAAAAATGGGGGCAAATAGACTTGTAGAAGGCTAATGCAATACTGTTGGCAACAGATGGTTGTACTGCAGTGGCAGTGCAGAGAGAGGGATACAGTACACAAGAGTATTTAAGAACTGGACTAGAACAGGCAACTACTGGACAGGCACCTAAGGGACAGAAGTGACGGATAATGCCTGTTTCCTAGTTGGACAGTGATGTGATCAGCGATGGGAAAAACAAAAATTGGTTTGGGGGTAAATGAATTCAGTTCGGGATGAAATGAGTTCAGTTTGAGGAGCCTGCAGGAGGGCTCTCCATGTGGGGAAATGCAGAGTATGGTTCTGAAGCAGATACCTACACTAGAGATAATCCTGCAGATTTAGAGTAATAAATGGTCCCTGAAGCCACATTTTGCTGGGTAATAGCATATAGATTGAACTCAAGAAAATCACAAGTGAAGGAAGAAAACCCACACTAGAATGTAAGCACCAAGGTCATGAATTCGTCTTTTAGTGCAATTTCCAAAAATAGTGTATAGTACATGTCACTCAAAAAAAAAAAAAAGAGAGAGAGAGGGAGAGAAAAGGGGAATTGCTTGAGGTGGGAGAAAAATCAGAAGTATGTGCTGTCATGAAAGTCAAGGGAAGAGACCTAGCCGGTTTTGCTCAGTGGTTAGTGTCAGCTCGTGGACTGAAGGGTCCTGGGTTCGATTCCAGCCAAGGGCACATACCTCGGTTGCAGGCTCGATCCCCCCTAGGCGGGAGGAAACCAATCGATGTGTCTCTCTCACATCGATGTTTCTCTCTCTCTTCCCCTCCCTTCTAGACTCTCTGAAAAGCAATGGAAAAAATATCCTCCAGTAAGGATTAAAAAAAAGTTAAGGGAAGAAACTTCAAAAAGGACTGGTTAAAGTTGTATAAGTCAAGAAAAAAAACTCTTTCAAATTTAAGCAATAAGGAGGTTGTGTAGATAACATTTTTTTAAGTTTTGGTAAATGTTAGAATATATCTATAATCTATGACACAGACTGCAATGGGTTAAAGAAGTATAAAGTGAAGTGTTCATTCTTAAAGTCTGGCTTTAAATGCGAGACAGCTGGAAGCAGTTGGGAAGGATATAAGGGAAGATTTTTCTTTTGTATATTTTCAAGTTAGAACAGACCTGAACATGTTTAAATGTTTTGCCAGAAAAGGAACAAGTAGAAAGGAGCAGCTAAGACTCTGTTGAGTATGACTAACCATGGATGAAAGCATATATAAAATGTTAGGCATTTTAATTAAATATGAGATGTCTTGGTGAATTCTGAATTCTTTTTCTAAAGTCACTCAATTGGGGGGGGTGTGACTTTTTTATTATAATACCCCACCCAAAAAACAAGACCCCATAGTTTCAACAATAAAAGATCTTAATTCTCAAAGACAGTAACATGAGTGACATATCATCCAATGTTTTTTGTATTTTTATTCAAAAGTATCAAAACCCCAACAATAACAAAACAACTGACACAGTTAGAAAGATGACACGTGACAGGCTCAACAGGAAATAATGTTATTCTACATATTAGGTCAAATCAGTTCCAAAAATTTGTCGTCTAAAAAACAGAACACTAAATTCCACTGGAAGGCTTGAGGCTCAGTCATGAACAATTACAGAGAAGGATGTTGGAACAATATTACTCCTCGTGGTGGGACTTCTGCAAATGAAATCATACAGGCATAAACTGTCATTGATGACAAGTCAAATAATCACCAAATGGTGACTAAAAATTCCGAATTCTGGTACAAGAATAATTTGCCTCCTTAGTAATAGGTCCTATTATTTTCAGTAAGCTTCACCTTAACTATATGATAACAGTTCTATCAGGATATATCTGCAACTAGAAAAAAGGAATTTCTCTGGTTTCGATTCCTGTCTGGTTCAGTATAATTAGTTACATGCAGGAGCATAGCATTCTCAAGATAGGCAAAAACCCCATGAAAAAACAAACAAAAAAATCCAAACCAGCAGTGGTTAAGATTTTGTCGAAGATAGATCTGTCTAAATGAGTATTACAATCTGACTCTCCCAATTTTAACTGTTTCCAACTTACCTTCAAGCCCACTAAAGTCTCCTACTCTACCTAAGCCCAAAAGCTCAGTTTACCTAACTAAAATGATCATTTCTCCAGGTGATACCTTAGCTATTCAACGGAGTTTACACTCCTCCTGCATCATTTTGTTACTCTAGCCGTGTCATTCTCCTGACTGTCCCTCCCAATAGTCATGCTTATTTTGACAATCAGGTCTCTCCTTTGAGATTTTTCCTTCTCTTCTAATCTAAATCCTGCCCATCTTCAAAATCCCCTTCTTTCAACAAACTTTCCTTGATTACAGTGGCCCTGCAGAAATCTTACTTCTTTGAAGACCCACAGATCTTGAAGTCCCTACCATACAACAATTTTTAAAAAATATGTATTTTATTGATTTCAGAGAGAGGAAGGGAGAGGGAGAGATAGAAACACCAGTGACTAGTCATTGATCCACTGATCCTGCATGACCCTTACTGGGGATCAAGCCTGAAACCCGAGCATATGCCCTGACCAGGACCTGAACAGTGACCTCCTGGTTCATAGGTGGACACTCAACCACTGAGCCACACAGGCTGGGCTCATAGTTCTTTTTCTTAAAAGTAATGTGATAAAATGTTTTTTGTTTCCCACTATAAAAAAGAATCCTAATCTCAAACAACTTAGTCCTAAAGCACATATAAGTGCATATGTATATTGACTTGTTCCCATGTTTAAGATTCCTGTCATGGTAGCACACTGCAATGAGGTTCTTTAGGAGTACTTTAAATAAACAAAACAAAATTTTGACCCCTCAAATTCCTCCCATTTCCCTCCAAAACTACTTTTCTCAACTAGTGTGTCAATACTACTGTCTAAATACTTCATACTGCTAATATGAAAAGGCTAATCTTTCCTATCATAGGCACATTTAGGAGCCAGTTAATTAAAAGAACAGCTTTTTAGGATATGTGGAAGCCATCCTAAGGTCACGACCCTTTGCTAGGATATCTTCTTATTCCAAGGAGATAGTTCACAAAATAAATGTAATGTGTATTTAGGATTAGAGACTGATACAATTAATACTTAAATTCCATACACTGTAGTATTTAATCCAATAGGATTTGGGACAAGAAAGTATCCCCACCCCTCCATTATTATAAGACAAAGCTGGTTTAAGGAGCCATTCATGTTTAAACCAGTGCAGAAGAATCACCAGGAGTTTGTTAAAACAAATTCCTGGGCCCTTACTGAGAGATTCTGATTCAGTAGGTCTGGGCTAGAGCTCATGAATTTGCATTTTAAACAAGCTCCTAAGATGATAGTGAACTGAATGGCTTGCTTAGACCAGGCTTGTCTTTCTGCCACCCTGTAACCCATCCACAGGGTTTTAGTTACTTTCTTGCTCTTGTATATTGTCAATGTTGCTACAATGCAAGAAAATATAAAATTCTCAAATCAAGATATTTGTATCAGTGGGTTCATGGAGACACAACTCTTCTGCCATTGTAAAAATTTCATATTAACCAATGTCCCCCCAATACATTTAATAAAGGGGGGAAAAAGAGGATCTAAAAGTGAACTGAATACTACAAAAAAGCAAAACTTAAAGTTGTTTTTGATAGGGGGGCCCCTATTTTCTTGTCCTGAATCAATGTTATGAAAATTCTGTTCCAGTTTCACTAGTGATGTCACATCTTAATGTAAATTAAGTTATTCTGAAACCATATGGTGTGAAACTTTTAAAAAATCATATAGTACTAGGAAAATAAAGGCAATAACTAAAGAAATTTATCAATGATAATGTTTAATATATACAATATCATATTTATCTAAAAATCAGGAAAATACCACATAAAAACACGATATCCAAAATGCTAAATAAATTCAAATTTTAAATATTTACCTTTACTAATTAATCCTTGAGTAATCAACATACTTGTTGCAGCCAAAGGTACAGCTACAAGAGAAAAAAGAACTTGTCAGCATCAACAAAAGGTAAAAAGATTCTGTCTGAGTTAGAACAGATGAACGAGTATCAGTAAAACCATCCAGAAAATAAGTTGCACAATTAAGATCTTTAAGAAATTTTTTCCATGTTTAAAAACTGTACTGTATATAGTCAGTGGAAATACAAAAAAAGCATTTTTAATATAAGAAAACATTACAATATAATTCAGGAAAACTTGCTTGCAAAAGTTCCTGGCTGACGTCTGGGAACTTGACTGGTAAACAGTTCCCTACACTGATATAAAACTTCACCTGAATGATAAATGGCTGTGTCTGTTTGTACAAATAGTTTATGCTGCACACCTGCTTTCCTTCTGTGAGTCTGGAATTTTGGTACCTGCTAGGCCAAAGGTACCTCTGTAACCAGCCCCCAATAAAAACCCCCAGGTGCTAAGTCTCTGAGGAGATTCCTTCCTAGGTAACTACTTCCTCCACTATGCAGCTGGAAGAAATTCAGTATGTCCTTTGTGCGGGACTCCATGGGAGAGGATTCCTGGAAGCTCTTATCTGGTCTCCTCTGGCCTCCCCATGCTCCTTTTCCCTTTGCTTATTCTGTTTTGTACCCTTCCCACTGTAACTTGTTTTAAATTTAAATAGCTACGTGTGGCTGCCTCACTGGACAACACAGTTCCAAACCAGGAGTTGGGAATCATTCTGTAAAGAACCAGATGGTAAATATTTCCGATTTTGTGAGTCACAGTCTCTGCTCCAACTACTTAACTGCCACTTTAAAGTATAAGCACTGAGATAACACATAAACAAATGCACATAAAACTTTCAATAAAACTTTATTTATGGATGCAAAAATATTAATTTACGCATTTTAGGGACAATGAGACGCTTCTCATTCAGGTTTAGATCAGTGTAGGGAACTGTTTGCCAAGTTTTCATATGCAACAAAATCTTCTTTTTATTGGTTTCAATCATTTAAAAACATAAAAACCATTCTTAGCTCATAGCCATATAATATAGTCGTCTAGACTATATATGGGAAATTTAAGAACCAAGGTAATTAAGACATCTGAATTATTGGGTTTCATAATTAAAATCTGTAACTTGGAATAGGGAATTAGCTTTGCCATCAGACAATTTGCAGAAACCCTAAGGTTTGAACCCTCACTCTCTTACTTACTAACAGATTTAAATTTTGCTCGAAAATGGTTTCTTTAATGTTGGCTGGTTTGATTGCCCCCATGTATTGTTACTTAAGGTTTTTCAAAGGACAAGTCCCCTTTAATTACAGCATCAATACAACTTGCAATCATTATTCTCCTTCAGCTTGGCTCAAGGAATGCAACACAAAGCACTGAAGAATCATATAGGGATGGAAGGCAACAAGCTGACTGGCCACCTCTACAATGGACAATGCTTCCCCTATTTTAATTTCTTCTTAGGCCACGGTGGTATAATGCAGAGAGTAACAGTCTGGTTAAGGAGATCCTATTACTACTTCTGCTACTCATCACTATGCCTTTGCATAAATCTCGTAACTTCTTTTCATGCTATGAAGGGTAATGGATTACGAATAAGGTCTCTTTCCAACTCATATATTCTGTCAGAGAAAAAGAGAATGGTAAAATTGAAAGGGACTTCAGAACTTAGTATACAGTCCTCATCCTAATCAGAGTAAACTGATACCCAGAAAGGACAATCCAGTTGCTCAAAGCAACAGATAGTTTGCGCTAGCGCTTAGATCATATCCCAAGTCCCCTGACTCCCAGGTCACTATACCACATGACTCCAAATTCAGAGTCAATTAAATGACGTTTCTTTAGGCAAATCAATAATACTGCTGACCAAAAGTTATTTTGCATTATGACCATGGCCCCAGCCACATCCAATACAAGAATGCCTAAAATTCCTTTAACTCTTCTCCCCTACAACAGCAAAATGCTACTCTAAATTCATAACTGTTTTCAATAGAAACTGTTATTTCATTAATCACACTAGCACTAACAGTCATTTAATAAAGGTAGCTTAACATTTATACAATAAATTAAATTGAATTAATTCCCATAACAATCCCACGAGATGGGTTATTATCCCCATTTGAAAAAGGAAACTGAGGTTAACAGCCACCAAGAACTTGTCTGAAATCTCACAGCTAATACATGATGGAGCTGGGATTTGAGTTCAGACAGGCCTTAGAGTCTATGCTGTTATTACTCATTATACTATCTCATTTGAAAAACAAGAGTAGACAGGTATGAAATATCATTCACAGAATCTACAAATGAAGCATGAAACAAATATGAATTCATATACCTTTTCAGTAATTCCAGAGGTTGAGAACTACCCTAACACACAATCTACATCAAACGGACCCCCTTTCATAGATTCTTTCATTACCTGTATATTTGGGCACAGATAAAACTGTTTCTTTTGTCAGTGTATAGGGTTACAATTTTAAGCTGAAAATAAATGCCTTCATGGTTAAGCTTTGAGATCAGAGTAGAGCCCGGCCGGGTGTGGCTCAGCGGTTGAGCATCGACATAGGATCCAGGCGACTCAGGGTTCTATTCCCGGTCAGGGCACATGCCTGGGTTGTGGGCTTGATCAATGACTCTCTCATCATTGATGTTTCTCTCTCTCTCTCTCCTTTCCTCTCTCTGAAATCAATAAAGATATATTTAAAAAAAAAGAAAAAAAAAGATCAGAGTAGAAATAAAATTATCTTAAAGAAAGAATGGCCCCTAGATCAACATGTCTAAATTTAAACCAGGATGAACATAGTAGTTAATACTTAAAAAAATCTGTAAAAATTACCTTAGTATTTTTTCTACACATTCCTACTTGCGTCACCACCTTTTTACATCAGTAGGCACAAGATGCTTTCCCAAAAAACTTATTCATTTACATAAATATATGTAAACATCACATACTGCATAGACTATTCTTATGTGAAGATACAAATGTAAAGTACAAAATTTCTTAATGCATGACTATTAGTCTGTCTCCTGGTAATTATACGTTGAATTCCCTATCGTCTGTTGTTACAGCCAAGGTTCTATGTACTTTCTCTTTTTAAAAATATATCCTTATTGATTTCACAGAGAGGAAAGGAGAGGGAGGGAGGGAGAGAGAGACAGAAACATCAATGGGGAGAGAGTCATTGATCAGGCCCACAACCCGGGCATGTGCCCTGACCGGGAATCGAACCCCAATCGCCTGGATCCCAGGTCGACGCTCAACCACTGAGCCACGCCCAGCTGGGCTATGTACTTTCAATGTCTGAAGTTATTACATTAAGCAACATTAAAGTTATCTCTGTTTTAAGAGTAATAATTACTTACTAAATACATTAATTTTCTGGCTGCTGTAATTTCCCAGTAATCCAGATATGGTATACAACAAGCTGTTTCTTAGCTTGTCCTTATTACGTGTTTTCTATCTAACCTGTGGTTAATCTGTTTTAAGAGACAGAATTATGTAGGCTCCTATTATTCATATACCACATGCCCCACTTTGAACAGTCAAGTATAGATGGGTACCCTACGTATTGATCACTGCCCTTCAATGTAATTTTACCATAGAGCTGTTATAATTAGCTAGAATGTTAAACATGAACAGCAGAATAAGTTTATCAGATAGAAATAAATGTGGACACCACACTACCTATGTGGCTGTTAGCCTAACATTACAACGATCCCAAACCCTATCTACCAGATTTGTCTTTTTCTTAATCCCGTGTTATTAAAAGACTTGAAAACAGATCACTTTATTCTACCTATTCTATGCAATTCTTGAAGACGTAAAAATGCGTTGCCAGAGTACAAATGAATTCTGTGAGAAATTATTCTCATATTATGAGCCACGTAAATTTTTTCTAAGTCCTTGATCCATGATAACTATGCATTTAAAACAATTATTCTCATCTAGAGATGTGCATCATCACCTAATTCTCACACAGGTTCTTTCCAGCTTGAAACCTCTATAAGTCTCTGAATAATTGACTGAGAATAAAACTCAAAAGATTTTATAAGAATTCCTATTATCTTAACTGCTCTTTCTTGGTCTTGGTTCATTCTTTCGCCACTACTTGGGTCACCTACCCAAGTGAGCTCCTCAAACTTTGTCATTTATTCCATTATTCCTAAATATTAACCATGTCATAGGTACTATTACCAGTTCTATGCTTTCATTTCTACACTTAATTTCTTGGTGAATTCACCAACACACCTATACCACAAACTCTGATTTCTTACATACACCTTTATTTCTGTCTTTAGCTGCACTCAGATTTTCCACCATCAGATGATGATGTATCATGAACTCAAAATGTCCAAATCAGTTTCCTTCTTCAAGCAATAACTCCTTCAAACTACACCTTTTAATCAATGTTATTATTAGATAGTATCCTAAACTGTATATCTTAAAGTTAGTACTTCCTTCACTCCTCCTTAGTCAATTTACAAATTCTATTATTGCCCAGCCAGTATGGCTCAGTGGTGGAGCATCAACCCATGAACCAAGAGGTCACAATTTGATTCACGATCAGGGCTCATGCCCAGGTTGCAGGCTCAATCCCCAGTAAGGGGTGTGCAGGAGGCAGCAGATCAATGACTCTCATCACTGATGTTTCTCTCTCTGAAATCAATAAAAACATATAAAAAAAATAAAAATCCTATTATTTAAAAATCCTACATGTCCTTTAAAAAATCTCATTCCCAGTTCATCTTCTCTAGTCCAAATGACACTACAATCAACTACGTCCCCTCAATAACTGTATGCCTAAGTTATCGCCAAAAGCTTATGACCGATTTCATCAAGTACATCTTCTCATCCTTCTATCTCATCCTGCAGTTAACGAATTTCCTTAAAAAAAATCTACATATCACCCCCTTAGCCCAATAACCTACAATCTATAATGAATCAAACCTTTAACTCCTATGTTTATTTTTCTATCCCAACAAAAGACCTCTGCTCCAATCAGCGCAACCTCAAGGCTCTAGTAGAGATCAGGCTATTGTAGAATCTGCCTTTGCTCACCATTCCTTTCATCTAAATACTCCATCAATCTTCTTGTACTTAAAGGCTTACTAGTTAAGTCTCCGTTATTTAGTAAAGCCTTTTTTAACTAAATCAATTCCAATTAAATTTGTATCTTTTAAAAATTCCTATTGCTGTTTTGCAATAGGAATCTTTCTCAATGTGTTTCATGAATTGGCTCTGTCTTAACTACACCATAAAACCACTTTAGGGCAAAGACTGTGTCTCCCAAGCATCGTACCTTACACACTATAAATATAAATACAGGCTGACTGATGAAAAGGTACATCTTCTTTAATTCCTTAGGTCACTCCTTCCTTTTCAAAATTCCATTCTGCTTTTTTGTTAGACAAATTACCTTATCTGCAAGGACTGCAATGACTAGTGAAGCAACACCAGGATTCTGTTCAAATGTAATATAATGTTTTACGTTTCTTTCAACATCCTCTGTATTTAAAAAACAAAATCTTGCCCTAGCCAGTTTGGCTCAGTGGTCAGTGTCTGCCCGCAAAATGAAGGGTCTCAGTTTAGATTCTGGCCAAGGGCACATATCTCGGGTTGTAGGCTCGATCCCCAGCCCTGGTCGGGGTACTTGCGGGAGGCAATCAGTCAATGTCTCTCTCTTTCTCTCTGAAAAGCAATGAAAAAATATCCTCAGCTGAGTATTAAAACAAAAAAACAAAAAGCACTACAAGGCATATAATGAATAACAGCATTCACCTCCCTATCCCAGATTCCTACGCTACAGAAAAGCAAAACAAAAACCTTTATTGTATAAGGTCTCCAGTCAGAAATCAAAAGCTGAAAACATTTCAAAATGATAAAGTGAGAACTAATTAGTTTTTATCATGTAATGGCTAAAAGTGTAAGAGAGAAAATCATAAGCTGCTGTTTCAGACAGATCTGGCTTTGAATCCAGCCATCACGACTTACCAGCTCTGCAACACTAAATAACCCATTTCACATCGCTAAACCTCAATTTCTTCATCTGTAAAATGAGGGTAACAGTTATCAACCTTATCAGGTTTTTAAAAAAATATATAATGCATATACACTCAGTAAATGCTATTACTATTACCAACAAAAATACTTCAGTCTTGAAAAATGTTCTAGAAATCATTACTTTAAAATGCGTACAATTCTACTTATTTAACCAACCTCTTTTAGTAATAATTATGCTATACCAAGTGTGCCAATTTTTTCTATACGAAGTCATTAAAATTTAAGGCACTGAAGGTCAAATTTTGTTTACTATAAAATTTAACTTACATCTGAACCAGAAGCTTTCATCATTGCATTCTGCGAAGACTCTTCTTTCTTCCTCTGTCGGAATGTAATCAGCCCCTATGTCTTTTTACCAAGGAAAAATCAGCAAACATTAAAACACCTATGGAAAAACTAAGTCTAAAAATTACCTTAGTCTAAACCAGTGATTTTCAACCTTTTTCATCTCATGGCACACATAAACTAATTATTAAAATTCTGTGGCACAGCAAAAAATACATTTTTTGCTGATCTGACAGAAAAAAAAGGTACAATTTTGATTCATTCGCACTCAACAGCTATTGCTGTGTTGTTTGTTGTCACTTTTTTAATCTAAGGGAAAAGAGGTCAGTGCCCCTGACTAAATAATCCGGTATTTCATGTTTTAAAAATTCTTGCAGCACACTGATTAAAAATTGCCGGTCTAAACATAACAAAACACACCCATTTTAAAAAATGAAACAACAGGCTTGTTGTAAACTTTAACAAACTTTGACTTCAAACAGAAGTTGATACTATCTGCTAGTAAAAACTGGATTCATAATGTGCTATGTCCAATGCAAAATGAAAATGGAACCTCTTGTTCAAATTATTAAGAATTTCAAGATGGCAACAGAGGTTAGTAAACCAAGTATGGGTCCCTGTGTGACTGCATAAGTCACACACCCGTGAAGTTAGCCCAGCTGCTATACTGTTAGTCAAGGCAGTAAAAATTTCTCTACAGATAAAGTGCTTCTAATCATAAATACTTAATTGATAGTTACGGGGAATTGGTCTTGTAACTTCAGCATTCGGCTCTCGAAAATCAGCTCTGCCATTCATCTTTCCTGCATCAAAAACATTTATATTAAGTATTAGAAACAAAAATGAGGTAAGTCAAAGTCAGTCAGGATATAGTCTAATAATATTACTAGGCTTCATGGCAATCAATCAACAAATATTTACTAAACACTACTACATCTGAAGTACCTCACATAAAGAAAAGTTACCTCAATAAAAAAGTCACAGACCTATTAACTGATTTGGAAATGATTACTTATCTTAGGACCCTTAACTGAAAAAGTATATATGACTTATAAGTACAGTTTTTATCAACTGATTATATCATTAAGATATAAAAGGATATCGCCAAGCCCTGGCTCAGTGATTGAGCGTGGACCTAGGAACCGGGAGACCAGGATTTGATTCCTGGTCAGGGCACAAACTGGATTTCAGACTTGATCCCCAGTAGGGGGCGTGCAGGAGGCAGCCAATCAATCACTATCATTGATGTTTCTCTCTCCCTCTCCATTCCTCTCTCTGAAATCAATTAAAAGAAAATTTTTAAAATCCTAACATTAAATTTTTAAAAAAAGACATAAAAGGATATCAATAAAATAAGACATTTTTCCTCCTGAAACTGGTTTATTTCACATTATCCTAGCTTTGGACCCTTTCAGAAATATATGCCCAATAATTAGGATAATTCCCCAAGATAGAAGAGGAAAAATTTCAAGTCATTTCTGCGTTTCCATTTTTTAAAAATAAAAGAATCATCAGGAAACACACGTATCCCAGAAAGCAATACTCCCCCAAATTAATAAAACGACGTCATATCCATTTCCCTGTGGTGTAAAGCTAGCACCAAATTCTGTATCCACCAAATGTCCTCCCTCCCCAAATAGAGACTTAGAAAAATACGACATATAAAAATGCATGGCATTTCAAGAGCATACACTTTTATTTTTTGACCTATGCCTGGGGATTCAAGAGACCAACAGCTTAGATAATCTGCATTTTACAGAATGTTCTCATAGGATCATGAGCATCCCCATCTTAAAAAAAAAATTTACATGAATTAGGTAAATGCCATACATGATGAGGATAGCAATTGGGGCCCTTCCTTAATTCACGTATTCGATAGGCCATCATTGAAGGTCTAGGACACAACCAATCCCTTCGCTAAGAAAAAGGAACAGAAAAGGTAAGATGGATTCATGGATGGAGCTTGCTGAATAAACTACTCGTATCCCAAGACAACCGTAAAAGAAGAAATGAAACCCTCATTTCTCAAACAGCATCCTACCTAGAAACCCCAGAAAGAGACTGTCAAGGCCCACAAGGCCTGTGGAGAACACCGTTTTAACCTCTTAAATCGCAAAGAAAAAACCTGAATAGAACCTGCGTCGTCCTACGACCGTCGATTCCTGCACGCCATCCCCCACCCACGGCATCTGCATCTCCACCTGCAATACCCCTCAAACATACACAGCTGTTACCCTGAATTTTTATGTGCCATTCACAACCCCCCAGAAACATTCCCTCTCTTTCCCGGGTCACCAGCACTTCGGAGCCCGACGCCCAAAGCGCGATCGGCCCACCCGCACAGGCGGGAAGATGGCGGAGGGTGCAGGGGAGCGGCTAGCCTCAGCGGTGGTGGGGGGTGGGCAGAACGCGGCCCTCTGCGTCACCTCACCCACCTCAGAAGACAGCCAAGGGCGACGGCACGGCGAGCCCCGGGCGACCAGAGGCAGAAGGCCCGGAGGGGTCAGCAAGGGGAAAAAGCGCGCGGATATCGGAAGGCGCGGGGGACCGCACAAGAACTGGGGGTGGGACGCAGCTAGCTACCAGGCAGCCAGAAAGTCACCCAGATACAAGCTCAAAATGACCGTAACCCGGAAGCACTGGGAACTTACAAAGGGAAATGACGTCACCCCTCCCTGTGGCGTCGAAGGCGAGCAACCTCGGAATAGACGCTAGCTCCGGCGTCCGTCTGCGCCTCCTTCCGCTCAGCCCGTCTCCTTGCTTCCCCCGGCCGCGGCGCTCGCGAGCTGTACTGCGGCTGCGCCAACCACCTCCGTCCGGAGCCCCGCCCCGCCCAACCGTTTCCTGGGGCGGGGGTCATGCCTTGGCTTTAGGCTGCGTTGATGCGCAGTTCGGATCCTCTAGTGACCGGCTGACAGGAAAGTTCTGGAATCCCCTTTACCCCCGTGCTGAGAATTACCGACTCTCCATAGATGTCTCTGTTTTTAGGCTTTACGTAGCTCATTTCACTCTTTGTGCCTCTACGCCCAGTAGTACGAAGTAGCCATTGGAGCATGCGCACTGGGCTGTCCGTCAGACTCGAGTCTAATTTCTGACCAGTTCTGGAACCTCGAGCCTCGTACGTTACCTCTCGGAGCCTCAGGTTTTTCTCATCTGAAAAATGGAACTAACGCCTACCTCTTCGGGCTGATAGGGTTAGAGCAGCACACCTGAAAAGAGGCTTAAGCGCTCAGTGTTCTCTGTTAATGGAGTTTATATCGGAATGCGGCGCTTACGGCTTCAGTTCACCAGACGTCGCGCCGCCTCTCCAGCCGCCATTCATTCCTTTATTCGTGCTACAGATAACGCGTGCCGGCTGTGAACCAGATACTTAAAGAGTTATGGGTGCCTTAGTGAACGATCTGCCCGCCCCGTTTGTTTCATCAACCCCTAAGAGCCTCTCGGACTGCTCATCTCTTCCCGGGCCCTCCGCCGCTGTCCTCGCTTCGCCTCGGCGCCGCCTCTAGAGCTCCCCGAATGCATTTTCCCAGACAGACAGCTTGTGGATGGCGGTCCGCCTAAGGCGCAAGTCCAGTGCTGTGGTTCCTTCCTCAGAGCCTTTGTTCCCACGGTGCGCAGGAGGCAAGGCCCTCTCTCCCGAGCCACTTTGTTTTTCCTTACTGTCGTGTTCATCACTGAGAAGACAACTCGCACCTGCCCCCTTCCCCGCCTCGTCGACTCGACTGATACTTCAAAATCCTGCTTTTATACCACCTCCTTTGCGAAGCCTTCTCAGAAACACGATGTTTCTCTTTCTTTCCCTCTCACTGCCCCCTCTCTAAAAATCAATAAAAATATAATTGTAAGTTAATTATAAAGGAATTATTCAGGGTACTCGTGAATTCATAGAAAGGAAGCCCATGGGATGAACCCCTTGACTTCAGCGTCACGAAGATTTTGTCTTTTCAGGTGAACTCTTGAACTTCCTGATCACAGTTATTACTCAGCATATTTCCATGTACGCTCCCTGAGGGGAGAGGTTCTATCTTATTCTTAGTGTTCAACACACACTTATTGCTCAACATGGAATGTCACAGAAGCCAAGGAAAAGAGAATCTTCCAAGAAGGAAGGGCCAATCGTGTCAAGTGTCGATAAGGACTGAGAGCTACCTGTTGAACAGAGCAGTACGGTTATTTGTAACTTTGGCAGAAGTAGTTTCGTTAGAACCTAGATTACAGTGGGAGGAGAAAGGAATGATCGGGAGCGATGTGGTGAAAAGGACTGGCCACTCTGCAGAAGCTTGGCTGCTTGGTGAAAGGAGGCTACCGAGTGGAGGCCGAGAGGCAAATAAGGAGTCGATGAAGGTTAGTTTTGGTTTTGTTTAATTCCATAGGGTCTTTTTTAAAAATACTTACTTAGTGATTGATTTTAGAGAGAGAGGAATGGAGCGTGCGAGAAAGAAATAGAAACATCGGTTATGTTTTCCCACTCATTTGTGCATTCATTGCTTGACTCTTGTATGCGCCCTGGCCGGGATGGAAACCACAATCTTGGCAGATCAGGACGATGCTCTAACCAACTGAGCTACCCGGCCAGGGCCTTATTCTATAAAGTCTTGACAGTAACTGTCAAAGGGGAAGAACCAGTAAAGAGAAGAGTTGAAAATACGGGAACGAATGAGAAGGGATGATTAATAGCAAAAGGCACATTTCCTAGCTAGTGTTCCATGAATGTGCCGTAAGCCACTGATCCACTCAGCCTTTGGAATGAGCTGCGGGCAGAGTCCCAGTCCAGTTGTCTGCAGCTTGAGCAATCTTCTTTGAGGTCCTCTGCAGGTCGCTTGTAAGGAATAAAGCCTACTGGCACGCCAGTGTATTCCACAGGTGGTGAGGACCATGGTCAACACTCAGCTCTTCTCTACTTTTAAATGTCAGAAAATTCAGCCCAAGGGCTTTGCCCATTGTGGGCAAGGGTCCTTTGGGGTTGCTGGAAATATTTATGTTCTGGATGCCCAGGGAGCATGGCAGGCATGCCAAGGTGCAGCTAATGGGCTGCGCAAGAAGATAAGGACCGAGGCTTCTATCTGGTGCAACTCCAGGGAGCAGCCCCAATCTCAGTCTTTATGTTAACTGGGCATGTCTGGTCCTTTGTAATTGATTTGTTCTTTTCAAGGTGTTCAGGCCCTGTGCACCTCTGAATTTATGCTTGGGTATAGTTTCCTGGGGCTTGTTTTGTGCTTGTTTTCCCTTTTACAGCAGAAGAGACGAAGAGAAGCATCAGTAAAATGAGGGGCCCATGTTTCTGTATTAATGTGAACCTAAGAACAAAGAGTCAATCTCTCTGAAATCCTAAATCATATAAAGTTATAAGAAAGCATCTAGTACGTGGTCCAGCACTTAGTTTACATGCAATAAATGTGAGTTGGTTTTTTGTTCGTTTTTTTACATTTTCTTGAAGATCTGGAGTACTAGAAAGGAATTTGAAGAGACAGAGAATAGAGATAAGCATACGGAATATGTAGCCTAGATTGTAAATTCCTGATCAACAACCACAAATAGTTGTCCAGATTTCTAATTAAAATTTAAAACAAGAAGTTTATTTTTAAAAGCAATATAGGACTTCCAACAACAAAAAATCCAGTATTAATCAATGCTGTTTGGTGGTTGATAAATGCCAATTACATAAGTTCTTTGTTCTTTCATTAATCTCAGCTCAATCTCCTGAGTATTGTGTTCAAATATGAATCTGTCTACTTTGTTGTAACTATGCAAAGAGTCAACTCTTTGGTTGGTTAGAGAAGGAGAATTTTTACGTTTAGGTGACTTTCTTTTGCTGAAAAGCTTTTCACTACAATGGGTATTTGAAAACAAAGACTTTCTGAATAGCCATCCCTGCTTTTCTTTCTTGTATGACAGTTTCATTTACAGGCAGAATGCAGGGGGTGGGAGGTGTCCTCCACCAGAGGTGACCCTTGCTGCAGTGCTCCTCATGCTGTCAATCAACCAGAGAACCATCTGTCCCACTTTAGATTTCAGGAGCCATCTTGCACATCTGCTGTGCCTTTTCTAATGTCACTTATAGAACCCATTAAAAGCTGTTAGATGAATTAGGGGAACCAGAGTGCAGCTGCGTGCAGCTGATTTTGAATTTTTGCAGCTGGGTCCTACACATCACTCTCAGTTTTGAAATTATTTTTTTTTATGAGATTAGAACCAGAAAGTGAATAATTCATTTTATAATAGTAACTCCTAAGAGACTGAGCCTTCAAATTCTGCTCTCTGAAAATTTAAAAAACATTTTTTAACAATTCCCACCAAATGGTTAAAAATCAAGCCAAGAAATGATAATAATACCCAACATTTGTTGTGCACATACTATGAGTCAAGCACTGTTCTAAGTGTTTTAGTACAATATTGTATGAAATCTTTACAACCACCCTATAGGTAATAGGTACTATTACTATCCTCACTTTATGAGGGATTTGAGGTGAAGGGAGGTTGATGAACTTATTCAAGTTCACAAAGCTAATAAGTGAGTCAGGATTTGAATATAGCCCATGATCGAAACCAGTGCCTTTCAAACTTTAAAGTGCTTACGAATCACCTGGGGATTTGTTTAAAAAGCAGACTCTAATGAATGGTTCTGAAGTGTAGACTGAAATGTTGCATGTGTAGCAAAGTCCCAGGTGAAGCCAGTGCTGCTGGTTTTAGGATCACCTTTGATTAGCAAGGGTCCACCACACACTGGTTCTCAACTTAGTTACATATTAGATCCACCTGGACGGATTCTTAAAAATGATGAGGCCCAGGTTCCATCTCTAACTAATTCAAGCAGAATCTTTGGATGTGGGGTCTGAGCAGGGAAGAAACTGACTGGGGGTGGGGATGGAGCATTAAAGTTATTGTAAAATATATGATTACCTAAAGTTATTGTAAAATACATGATTACTAGCCACTATGCTGTACACCTGAAACTAACACAAAATAGTATTGAATGTAAACTGTAATCGAAAAAAACAAAAAGCGAAAAAAAGCGACAAGTTAATTTTAAAAGGGAGGGAGGGAGGGGTAGTGTTGATAGTAGGCCATCAACCACAGAATATGATTAGTCTAATTCTTTGTGTATCTATGATCTAATTTTTTTTAGAGGCACAATTTGAAATGATTCTTAAACATACTGTAAATCTAAATTATAATGTAGAGTTTTTTTGAGTAGTGAAAAGATAAAGAAAGAAAATTATAAATGTGATTTAAGAAAAGTATCAAAACCAACAGAGTATAAAGTCCATTCCCAAGGTTGACAAAGAAAATGTTCTAATGAAAGCAATAAAAATTGATTACTTTCTTCCAAATGTTTTCCCAATTTAAGTGACAGATGCTAAAGCCAGATGTGAAACTATAAACAAATAAATGTTGGTGATTTGAATTTTAGAAGACAAGGATATTGTATTTTGTAGAGATCATTAATTTATAAAACCAGCATAAAATGCATATACCCACCTAATAAAAAATAAAATTACTTACCACTTAAAATTAAATGATGTAATTTTTTTCTAAATAACTGCAAACTAAACATATATAGATATTTAGACAAATTTGGATAAAAGAGACAAGGGAGAT